CGACGTACTATCTCGCGTTCTCCCTCTCCTCGCAGCGCTGTGTCTCTCCGTCGTACTACGGCCGGCCTCCTAAGGGAAATTTAGTGTTTTCTATGGTGCTTTTTGCTTTTTCTCCTCACTAATGTTCCTCATTGCACCCCTTGCCTAATTTCAAACAAAATAACGCATCAATTCAATCCCGACTCGTGCCTTTAGATTCATGGTCGTGCTACATCACGATCATGGCTAACAACGAAATCCTTGAAGATTAGCCATAACAACAAATATTTCTCGTTCGTCTACCGCAAATATCGCCAATCACGTCATGAATTTGCTCTCCACTCCACCAAACTTATTTTCATATTGTCGTTACCTGACATGAAGTACTGCATATTGCTCACTGCTCTTGCCTCCTATTATGTACTGCTTGACCATGTTCTCCTTGTCTTGCGGAGCAATCACCTGTATCACGCCTGTCGTCCCGCTGATCCATTCGTTCCTGTCGCGTGCAAGAGTGTCCAGTGGACCCTCGCTCGAGGGACACGAAGTCCTTCATTCCTTTCGTTCAGAGCTTTCGTGAAGAAGTCTGACCATCGGGCCGGCGGTCGTCCAGGTGTTCGTTTGACGTCCCGAGGGATCCAGTCGGTAACCGCTCTGGTCCAACGGTCATCGCAAAATCGCATGACGTGTCCGGCCCACCTTATCTTCGATTCCTTGGCGAAAACGGCAGCGTCCCTGATCTTCGATCGTTGGCGTAGTTCGGCACTCCGGATTCCCCTCTGCACTTGCGTGTATAGGGTTACTCCTAGCATCGTCTCGACAGCGCGTTGGAGAACGCTGACTTTTGTTACTCACTTACGGAGCAATAGTATAAATAACGAGGTTGTTAAATCCAAAGCGGGTCTTTCAGAAAAAATAAAGCAAAAGCTCTTTACCTTCACACACTAAATGATATCATTCGTTGAAAGTATTGTTGACTGCAATACAACTCAAATTTTCAGCTGTAAATGTGAAAATCGGCTGGAAGAGAAGAGAAATGTGGAACAATGTGCTCTAGTTTTCGCTACAACTCTGCAATTACGATGTCTGATGCTATTTTCAGCCATTGTCAGTATGATTTGTCTTTCCGGTCAATTGTTCACGTTCAAAGTCCTTGCTCCGAAAATGATCTGCGAGGTTCTGCACACTATTATTTGTATGATTATTACGAGTGCTGTATCACTTTTTTATTACATTAGGTGGTCGGAGACTTCCCCGCTCCGACTCTTTTGTAAATAACAATTAAGAGCCGCCAGAGGGTCACAAGTGAAAACCCATAGTCTGGCCTCAGCCTTGATTTCTCTTAATTAGCGCTTAAATCCAACGCTCACAGCTTATCGATTTACGTCTCCGAGAAACTGACTGGGACTCAAAGTATAACAGTTGCGAATGCCTTCAAAACGATCCTCCGCCTTGATTTTTTAATGTTCGGGAAGCACTAAAGGTGGCCATAAGTCAACAATCGGGCGAAGCAAAGTCTGCTTTGAACAAAGTACTAATTGGCAGCCAGAGTTGCAGTCGTGAACCACTGGAGGCCATTTTAACTCCCGCTACGACCTCCCAAAGGTAACTTCTCCCCCACCCCTCCCCTCCCCCGAGGCTGAATTGGAGAAGAAACAGCAGGCTGATATTCTCCCAAGTACCATACGGATCTGATTTCGCAATTTTCCGATAACTTCCCCTTCAGCCACCTCCCGCTCTTTCCGTAAGGATGCTCATGACGGAGACAGAAGGTTAAAGGCGGAGACCTTTCTTGGAACCCAGTCTCTGTACTCTTGGAGAAGACATCATCAACAAGCTGAGGTAGATATGAATGGTGCATACTTCTGAGTCCCAGCCCAGCTTACTTATAAAGAATTTGCAAATAAATTGGGCAGGCCTCCCATTATAAAGGAGAAGCACTTATGGACGGTAATCTTGCTCGGATTTTTATAAGCAAAGTAAGACCCTAAAACATGTTTACACTATCTAGCAATGCAGAACCTGTACCTGATGTTACCTTTGATAAACCTCATCAGATACTTTTTAAATGTATCAATTCAAGGCTATTGTCACACATTTAATTGTAATGCAGAAATAAAAATTTCTTACTTTTCATTCACAACAAAAGTACATCAAATCCAACGACAATATATAGTAACAAATGACGCTTCAATTTGGAGGCACCACTACAAAAAGCCCTTGCCTCTTGAGATCTTCATACATTTTTCGTGTAACCACATTACCGGCTGAGTCTTCGAACTCTTCGTCGTTGTCGGGATTCCATCTCTGCCGTTCCTATAACCGGACAACAGATACTATCAATTGCAAGAAAAAGCAAAATTCAAATTTTAGTGGCCACCTTTGTGAAGTGACCAGTAACTCAGCAACAGTCCGCAACAAGCTAATTGAACGACGCTTGGACAACGCTGGAAAACTAGTGTGACTGCCGAACTTGGGGCGCAAATTATTTAATATTTGCAACCGCGGATGTTACGGGTCAATTAACCCTTAATCAGCATGCCTTCTATTGATAAAAAGTGGGAGTAATGTGATTTCGCATAGACTAGCAAGAATTAGATCAAGAGTAATTCCAGTTGAAGATGAGAGAACATCTGCGCATCTCTTTCCCATAGAAAAGTAAACTACTAAGTTTTTTCTTCAAGTTCTATTAAGAAACGGTGGTCGCCTCTTCACATATTTGAAAAAAAACTGCTACCTTATCTCCTTTGATTTTGTTCCACAAATCGAGTGCATCTTTGATCTGCGTTATATTAGCGAAGTGAGCAGTGTTAGGAATACCAAGACATCGCATTCCGTGAGAGTGGCGCCATTCCTAAATGAGCACTTATCCAAAAACCGATATCTAGCACTCGAATCGTAAATTCACGATAGAAAAAGTTCACAAAGGATATTTTTTCTCATAATGAAAAAAATTGTAGGTTGTTCTTGGCATGACGTTGTGCTTAGCAAAATGATCCATTCACAAGAACACAAACAAGACACTTACATTGAAATGTTTTTGGAATGCTTTCGGCCCTTTGTACACCTGATTGCCACAAATCTCACATGAATACGATATATTCAGTCCATGCAATTTATATAACCAGTACGGAATCGGCTTTCCATCCCATCTGAAAATGTATATAAACTTTCAGTTTCACCTCATGACATTTACCTACCATTCCATTTGAACACGTTTGCTATGATTTTACCATTCCGTTCCCCAGTAGGAGCAGCTGGGAACGTTACTACAATAGCAAACAAGAAATCGTAAACGAGAAACCCACCCAAGAGGGAGATTTTTGGGGTTGTAGGGCACGCCGTCGTTTTCCTCCTCATCGCTTTCGATCTGGAAGAGACCCGTAATATTAGATGGTAGTGAAAGAATGGCAGTGAAGCGTACTTGAGGCTCTTCATCGTCGTCTTCGTTTTCCCCGACGGTTCGCGCCTGTTTCCTTTCCACATTCTCGCGCGTCGCATCCCGCTCCTCCATGAGAAGATTACCAATGCTGAAGAAAGAATGTTTACGCAAGAAAAGAAAAGAAATAGACGAATGAAGCTGAATTTTGCGAGTTTCAACAGTAAATTTAATACCAAGCACTAAGCTCAAAGCAGATTTTTGGAAATTGTAGATACTGCGGTGCCAAACGCCAGCGCGAAGAATAGTAACTTCGGGCTCAGGGGTGGGTATGCCGTATACCAATATCAAGGTTGAAGTCGTGTTCATCTATGTTTATGAAGCATAGTAGACAAAATAAATTTATTTTTCTAAAATATTGCACCTTTCAACGTCAAGGGAAGAAATAGTCGCAAACCCATTGGTATGCAAGAGAAGGACAGAAATATTAGATGGATTGAAATGACTACTACAACTACTGGCTGGAAATTGAATAAAAAACAACTAACCACTTTATGTGACCTTCAAGTTTCGCCAACGCTGCAGTCCGTGCTTGTTCTTTAGCTTCATCTGTCTTCTTTGCCAGCGCGTCCCTTCCTAAATCACCAGCTCTCAAGCCTTTTGATGCATACAGACGCTCAGCACGTTCTTTGAGTGTTCTAAAAAATAACAGTTACTTGGGTTCTATTGCGAATTCACACTGTCTTCACAGAACTTTTCTTAAAAAGTGGTAGAAATCAGTTCATACCCTCCACACTTTAAGCCTAATGCCATCAGAGCGGCTTTCAGTCTATCCAGGCCTAAGCTTTCCAATTCCACTGGACTGCTGTAGGCAGAAACATCAATAGAAGCCTGAAAGGACAAATCATAGATCACACAGTATCAATTCATACAAGAATATAAACCTCTCTTTTGGGGCAGTTTGTTTCGGCCATCCAGGCAACGATCCCTCCGCGAGCTGGCGTTCGACTTCTGCGTCACTCTACAAAAATTTCTTATTGTGGACGGAGGGGAAGTGATGCATTACGACAACAAAACTATAAGCTCACCTTGGCGAAATCTTCTTTGAGATTATGAAGAGGACGGGTACGTTCCATGAAGTAAACA